TTGGAGTTCATCATGAAATGACTTCGAAAACTGCCTCTGATGTCCCTGTTTAAAAAATGTCTGTCTTAGGAATAGATGATACTGGCTTCACTTAAACGTTCATATTAATAAGATTGCATGGTTATGTTCATTATATTTTTGCAAAATTTCCATTGATGAATACTGCCTAACTTTCTTTTGAAACCACAAAGATGGAATGTTGAACGTTGAACGTTGAAACACCCTAATATTATCCTTGCAATTTTAGTAGCAGATGCTCATCGTAAAAACATTTACGTGTTTGTCATTTATATCCAGGGTAGGAAATTGCTGTGCTGCAAATGCATTGGACACAGAATCGTGTAAATCAAAAAGTAAGCGTTGCTACATCGCAAAACCAACATCATGAGAAAAAATATGTAATGAAAACTAAAACTTACACCTAAAAAGAAAAAAAAAGAGTTCATACAGATCAATCGATTCCTGATGTATATAAACTATATATTGTCAATAATATTTCTATTTACAGCATGTCAAAGGGGATTTACAAGAATCAAATGTGATGTAAAGTGTCCGTTTCCGACATTTGGAAATGAAAGTCAACGAAAATGCAAATGTGATTTTGGAAGTTGTGATCATATCCATGGTTGTATTGAAAAGAAAGGTAAGTCCATTTTTATTTTAACATGTCAAGTGAACGTATTATGTACATAGATTCAATTAATTAGAGTTCTTAACAATGAAATGCAAGAAAGTGAATTGGGAATGCCTATCTTTATTGCAATTAGAACAAGCAATACGCATGTACATGCGTATTTCTTTTCGTATTGTTTTTGTTATAACATTGATTTTGCTTTTGTAAGGATGAAGCTGTGCTTTAACCTGGCCGTTTCCAGATTCTAATTTATTTGTTTATACCAAAAAGCATACATGTAGAAGATATGGTAAACTAGAAAGTTGCTATTTTTATTTCAGGGTAATGTATATTGTCATAGTATCTATGATCGATGACATACAACCTTCTGATCCCAATTTGTCTATGCTGTATTAATTTATTTTTCTCTGCTCTATCTAGTTTGTTCGCATTCATTTATTTCATTTCTGCATTGTATGAGATTTTGACAATAGTGCAGACCTTTTTTCCTATTATGTCTACGTAGATTGTTCTAAGGGCTTCTTTGGTGTAAAATGTGAAAGAAACTGCCCATACCCTACTTTTGGAAAAGACTGTCAGATGAAATGTAACTGCAGCAAAACATTTTGTAGTCCTATTCGTGGTTGTAAAGGTAATCCATATTACATTTATCTTTGTATAAACATATAATCACATCCTAATCCTATATAAAAATAACTATGATCAGGCAGGTATTACAGCACGTCTAATGAACAAAAATGAATTCCTTATTCCCGGAATCCTTTTTTTTCAGATAAATTCCAATACCTATCTGAACTGATACCAAAATCAATTACGATATTGGAGATTTCTAATTCTTCTTTGCTGTTTCACTTGAAAAATTTTTCAACCGATTTTAAGATCACGGCTTTAAATCCGAATGAAGCCCATAAGGGAAACGTTCTTCTTATCATAACAGTCTCTTTAAATGTCACGTTTATTGTTATTCTGGCATGTGTCGCTACTTCCTGTTGTGTTAAAAAGAGACGGCTTCAGCTGTTAAACGTTGATGACAAGCTCATGACATCTTCAAAGAAGCAGAAAGCTACTTTCAGAGAAAATTTGATTGAAGAAAATGAAACTTCTCTACAAAATGTATCAAGAATGAATGAAACCCATGCTTTTCGGAATATTAGTCAAAACGTAATGATGAAAACAAATGTACAAGATTTCAGGAACATGACTTGTATTTAGTCCCATGCATAGAGAGAACGGAGGATGGAAATGGAACGTATCTCACTGTCGTATAATATACGACGTATTAAGATACTAATAAAAACGTTAATGTCATAACCTGTTTTGGCTTTATGTTATTTCTTTTGATTGATTTTCATTCCTTATGACTTTGAAATATATGGTTAACTTGACGGATATAGCAAATTAAGCTTATATCGAAGCAAAACCGTTCATCACTGACACTTCTTTTTAAGCGTATTTTAATATATATATATATATATATATATAGAGAGAGAGAGAGAGAGAGAGAGAGATTCACTGAAATAGAATACTCACCTCAGCCTTGACTTTGGGTAGAGAAATTTAGACCAATTAAACCACGAATATTGTGCTCGATCGATCAATCATCTAGGCAAGCTAGAAACCTGATTTCGATGACAATGACGATACAATAATATATTGTACAAATCTCAGTTTTTATTTAACCCTGAGTTATTGTGAATAAAACATTACGAACGAAAATGTCTATATTTTAATTTATTTTTCTGGATTTTGCATAAGGTTCTCGGATTCTTGGCTGTCATTCGAAGTATCAACCATAGAAAGTTTTATATCAGTTGAATTTCCTTGGTCTTCTTGGACGGGACACAACAGTCACAGCATTTACCACAGCATGAACCAATGCCTGAAATTTACAAATAGAAAATATACTCATTTTAACACGGGGCGTGGTCTCGAATTTACGATTACAAATAACAGATAGAATCTTATTAAGGGTGAGGGTGGGGACAATACAACAATTTGTGAATGATCAATATTTTTCTCGTTCCGGGAAATGTAATTTCATTAGTAATTAGAATATACAGGAGACTCAATTAACAAATACGATGATAATATAACCAAGCGTAGTAAGGACGCAGGTTCTAATAATTTGTAAAACGAAAAAGTAATGGGCAATGGCAGATCTGGAATATATTCAAATACAAACAAATGATTCAATATCATTTTACATACAGACTTTGAAAAAATATGTAGTTGATACAAATAACATACTTATTCTAAGATAAAAATATCCAAATATGCTACTAAAATTAGAAAACTTAACTTCTCAGCCTAAAAGTAGCATTTTCATAGTTTAAAAATATTCTTTTTAAAATATCAAAAAGACATAAACTTATTATTTTTACCTCAATTAATTTACAAAAAAATACCTAATAGAGAAAATAAAATACCATTTAAGTGGTGACAACGGGCAGCTGATATATTAAAGTCAAATTTCCCGCACTGAAAGAAATAGGCCCGGAATACAGCATTATTCAAGAATAACCGGTTAGATAAGATTTAGAATTAGGTTCAAACTTGCTATAAAATGCAATTTCATGAGTAGAATTCATGAATCAAAGCACAAAAATGAATGGACTACTTGTAAATATGGCATATAGTAAAAAATGGCTCACCTAGTTCTTAAGAAAAAAAAAAATTAAAAAAATGACTTTAATAAATATCACTCTGCCACAATAAAATTTCCTTTCGTGTAGAGTTAAATTCAGACATAAGGTCAACCCACGAAACACAGGACATTTTTTTAAAGGAATTACTCCAAAGTATACGACCTTACCCTCTTCGATCGATCGATCGAGAGAGAGTTAGAGATCTGTAAGATTTCTTCAATTTTTAACTAAGTTTTGTCCAGAATTGCTTGCAAATTTCTGCACAGTACCTTTTGACGGTACATATTGTCGTTCTGTACTTAATGTAATCGGCGAGAATATGTATCTACTTGAAACAAAAGTTTTTGATATAAGAAGACAACTGATATAAATTTCAAATCGAATATATCGTACATGAATACACAATTTTTCTGCCACCAAGTACATGTATTCTTCTAATTCCTGACCATATCATCATTATCATCATCTCCATCATTTCAATCATCATCATTATCACAATATGTGCAGTAAGGTTACGCACATGTTGTCGCCGGCGACAATATTTACATGTATAATTTTGCAGCCTGCGACAATATATACTGACGGACGACAATATACGCAGTTAGGAAAAGTATACAATGTGGCCGGCAACAATATTTTTTCAATTGTTTTACAATTGTTCTGCATGAAAAAGCCTACGAGGCATATCTGCGTGATATACACTCCAATCGCATTACAAAATCCCTAGGCAACACTAACTGTGCGGCGACAATATCTGCAGTTGGGGTAGGCACATGATGTCGCCGGTTACAATATATACATGTGTAACTCTTCAGCCAACGATAATGTGTACCGATTGACGACAATTTGAGCAGTGAGGGTGGGTACATATTTTCGCCGACGACAATATGTACAGAAAGACAATATGTACCGTCATGCAGTTTTATAATTGCAATTTTACGTTTAAATATAATTACTATGGTTTGATTTGTAAGTAATGTCACTGATGAAAGTTCCTTTCACTGAAAGATGGAATACATACAGGCTTTTTTGTTGTCCTCCGGCATTAGTTGCACCACAGTACTTATCGTTCCCAAAATGACAATGAGCAACAGACCAATGATAATGGCCCATATTAAATACCAAAATGTATCCAACTGTTTATTAAGAGCTTTATCTCCCGCTTCCCTAAAAAAAAAAAAAAACAACAACAAACAAAAAACTATTATACTTTGTGTGCTCGCATAATCAATCCAATTTTTCTTTACATACCTTTAAAAATAAAAATAATAATTGATTTAAATATGATATAGGAAATTCTTTAGAAATTTGATTTGAGCTTGAATGGAAAATAACTTGATACACTGCAAATTTAATGTTTTCTAAGAGACCACATTTTAAACAGTAGCTGATACCATTTTCCGGCATCAAACGTATATGCATTTTATTATAAAAAAAATGAAAGTTGAAATAATTTTGGAATTTCTAGTTGTTTATATACATTAGTCTAACTAAAAAAAAAATAATAAATCACTTTGCTTTCAGTAAATACTGCAGAAATTGATTTTTGTCCAGACCTAGCTGGGTAGCTTTCTTGTTATTAACATACTTTTAAAAAAAATATTTGTTTACAATTGCACACTTCAAACGTCAAGACGATAGAAACTTATATCCTTGTAGACTAATATTCATAATAATACTTTCTATCGTAAGTTTAATTTGAAATCTTTTTGGGGCAGTTCTTACTTCATTTCATTCTTTCTCGTGTTTGAATTGGAATTCTGCGTACCATAGACGCCAGAGTAGCACTCCTGATCTGTGGAAGACAGTAACATTTCTAAAATAATGCATGTGTTATAGTTTTATTCTAAAAGATATTGTAATTTAAGAATTTTATTGATTATTTTGCTGATCTTACACCTACAAACACTTTTAGCTTAAACATAGATAACAAGGTCAATCTGACTCTCCAGATCATCCATTCATAGCAGCATATCGATCCCGATGCAAATTTCTACTTCCTTTAATCACAGACCCATTAACCTACTAACTAAACCACCTTAGCACATGGGCGTTACTATTTTCAACTTCTTTGCATGGAAAGAATAAGTCTGACATGGCTGAAAAAAAAATTAAGACAAAGAAATAAACAGAAACAGGCTTCATCTCAGTACAAATGAAATATAGTTTAATGTTAATATCATATATCTAATAGTGTATCAGCCTTGATTCATGTGTTTTGGACCAGCTGAGACAGCTGTTTTCTAACTGTCAAATGTTTTATCATCATCATTGTTTACAATTAAATGATCATGATTATTCAGTGACATAGCTCATTCAAAATCTTTACCTTCTTTCCGAAGTCAGAAAACAAAAGCGGTTAACTAATGTTATTTCTCCTACTAAGATACGACTTTACTGTTTTCAGTAGAAATATAGCAAGACATATTATTATTATTATTATTAAGTCGTCTTTGGGTTTATCTAAATGATATAAACAACATCATTTTTCTGTTCTGATACAAATCGCTTGGGATGATAACAAGGCCAAGATCAAAACAACCGTGTGATATGCTATACAAAATAGCTAGATCTTATACAGTGCGTTCATAAAATTGCTTCTCTTGGGTTTTCCCCCCAAAAAAACCCATTTAACTTCCTTTCTCAAGAATCACTGGGCAAGAAAATTAGATACTTATGTGAAAACTTTATTACAAACTCTAGATTCAAGTCTGTTCATATCAAAAACCTCGGAGGAAAGACGGAGTCATAAGAAGGGGTGGAAGTTTTATATAGGAAATGTCTTTAAATATCTTCTCAACAAGAATAGAAAAGCCATGATTAGTCATATTATTATAAAAAAAATCCTTAGATAGTGTAGATTAAAGTTTATTCCAATCATGACCCCTTGGAGTAGGGAGTAGGGAAGGGACACAACAGGGGGACAACTTTTACCATAGGAATATATAGGAAATGTCTTTAAACATCTCCTCAACAAGAACTGCTGAACCATTATTAATCATATTAATATAGAAGTATTTTCAGGGAGTGCAGATTCAAGTTTGTAAATATCAAGATCCCTGGGGGTTGGGTGCAGATACAACAGGAGGCCAAAGATTTACATAGGAATAAAACTTTTCCTCTCAAGAACAGGTAAGCCATTATTAATCAAATATAAAAGTATCCTCTGGAAGTGTAGATTCAAGTTTGTTCAAATCATGACCCCCGGGGGTAGGGCCGATCAACACCAGTGGGTCAAAGTTTAACAAAGGAATGGAGAGGTGTATGGTTAAGGGGCATTGTCGTAAAACGCATTTAAGACTTCAAATAATAGAATAACCCAACGAATGGACTAACCAAAGAGTATACAATGCATAACTTTAGGAACGTCAGGTATGGAGAAGCTAGCTGAAGAAGTTGGACGTTGAATCAGCAATAAAGAAGTTATAGGTAAGAACAAAATAAAAAGTATAACAGTTATAAGCACCAGTGGCAAGTATCCTAGGGAATTGATATTAAGTTTTAGGTGTAGTAAATCTGAGAAAGATTGAGACACCCAATTCCTATCTATCAATAAAAACCTACAGTAGGGGTGAAACACTGTGCAAGTAGTACCTTACCAAAGCCCCATCTCTAGATAAGAAAAAAATCATTGTAATGTGTGATTTACCCACAGCAAGAGCGGTCTAAATAATCATTCCAATCATTTACTCAGACAGAGTAAAAGGATAAACAATATAGCCCTTGCAAAAACTTGATCATACACTTTACGTTGGAAATATCTTTAAAAATCTTCTCAAAAATAACTGAGTCATTATGTCATATTTATACAGAAGCAACCTTAGGTATTGTAGAATCAAGTTTGTTCAAATGATGACTCCCAGGGGTTGGGGGCACAACAGAGGGTTAAAGTTTTACAGAGAATATATAGGAATAATTTTGAAGAAAAAAAAACTATCTGCTCAAGAACATCAAAGCCATGATTAGTCATATTATGGAAGCATCCTCAGGTAATGTAGATTCAAATTTGTTCAAAAGGGTGTGAATGGTGGGGCCACAATGACCTGTCAGAGTTTTACACAGGAATACATTGGAGAAAATTCTTTTAAATTCTCCTACTGAATAACAACAGAGCTATGATAAATAATACTGATATGGAAGCATCCTGTAGAAGTGTAAATTTAAGTTTGCACCCCCCCTCCCCTCGTAAACATTTCAATACTAAACTTATTACTGCTGTTTTCTAATCAATATTCTCATTTCAGCGATGTGGACCATGTACCTTGTTCATTGTTATTATTACCATGATAAGCGTAGATTTTTTTGCGGTAACATGTAAATAAACGTTGACTTCCATAATATCTTTTACCTTCCGTATACATATAGTAAAAATGTTTTTTTCATATATTTTTATTCACCGTTTATAAAAAAGGGGATAATTAAAAAAAGTGTGATTTCATCAAAAGGGCATGGAATACAACTTAAAACAAAATTAAATATTGAATATGACAGATGAAATAACACTTACATTTATATACTTCATTTGAACGATAATGTTGTGGACAACTAACGCTGTGATCCTGGCACGGTATATTATAGTGATTCTCAACTCTTGCTTTCTTGGAATTATAAAATGGGCAAAAATGTCCTAAATTATGACAATAATGAGATGATAATATTAAAGTATTAAAATCAAATAATAAATAAATGATAAAAACAGGAAAAATCTAAAAATTACATTGCATAAAATAAAAAAAAAAATAGAGGCTGGAATTGGTTAGTTGTAAACAAAATATATATTACTTCAACCCAAATCCCGCATTCAAAATTAAAAGGGCATGCCTTTACTAAATTGTTATGTTTGCTGCAGACCTGTAGAAAGTCTGCTGAAAGTCTCGATGATTGCCGCTAAATGCGATCTTGCGGCAAACTTTGCAGGAACTGCTGCAAGCTTCGAGCAAATTAGCATTAACTTAACATATTTGCAGAAACATATTGCAAGCAACATACATGCAAAACTAATGTTTGCAGCAAGTCTCCAAGAAACATTTAACAACTGCATGGTTGCAGGGATGAAAAAGGTGAATATAACTAACAGTGATCGATCTCAATATATCTACAAAGAATGCAAATCTATGAACAGAGCATAATACATGAACCCCCGGAAATTCCAGGGGTTTGTTCAGGTGCTTAGGAGAGGTAAACACCTCCTGTTGACTGGACAACCGCCGTGGACCTTATGTATTGATCAGTTAGACAGAACATTCCGTTGTCAAACTTAGAAGAAAAAACAAAACAAAACATAAATAAGCTACTTAACCATACCCTGTGGAATGACTTTTAGCTAATGGAACCTTGATTATTATACGTTTTACTCTTTAAAGAGTTAGGCATTTTTTTGTAATCATACGAATAGTTTGCCGGAAGGATATTTGTTGTAGAAGAAGGAATTATGCATTTCTTTTTAATTTCCCAACCTTTGTGGTCCATGGACCAAGATCCTGAAACGTATTAGTCATTTAGTTATTAAGGGCTTGGTGATTAGCATAATAATGTAAGAGTTTTCTTATCAGATTTCTATAGGGAAAAGATGTCAGAAATGTAGAGTATTTCAATATTCAATAGATGGTCAAATTAGTTGAACCCCTAAATCCTTGATCAACGAGCATATATTATATATTATTTGTAAATAGGTAGATACTTATTCAGTATATGCGAACAGTCTGCCTCCTCAATGCCTGAAACATGATCTGAATTATGAACCTGGGACATGAATTTTGAAATTCTAAATGCAGCCTATTAATGTTGCAAATATTAATTCTGCTAAATGTCTATAAGCAAAGAAGAGCATTCCATAAGATTTCATCACTTATTTGGTTTTATTCTCACCAGTCGTCACGGTAGCTCAGTCGGTAGAATCCGCGACTGACTTACATGTAAGTCGACAAAAAATATGTAGCAACTGTTCCTTCGCAAAGCGATCAGCACCTTGAAGTGAAATTTGCGGGTCCTTCGGATGAAACCTTAAAAACCGAGGCCCCATGTCAAGGTAGGCGTTGCCGTCATAAAGATCATTCACTGCTTAATGGCCCTGAGTGCCGGGTAAAGATCTAAATTTGAAACCTTTTACCGGTGTATGGTGACGTCTCTATATGAGTGAAATTTCTCGAATGGGACATTAAACAACATACAATCAATCAATCATTGTTCCCACCAAAAGTACGAAGACCAAAAATAAAATTTTATGTTTTCATTATGTTAGTATAGAGAATATGTTGAAAATGTTCAAATCTTTAACAAATGATGCACAATGACTAAGAGGAGAAAAAATAGCAAAAGACGATTTTAGTGATTCAGGTAGATAATAAAGCATATACTTATAGAAGTAACTATGAAGCATTTTCCGTACCAACTATCAGACGTACTGGAAGACATATTTCCACTAGACCATTTGCGTGTTCATTTACCAAACAGTGATACTGAAAATCCGCCTTTGATGAACAGTTTTGGTGTGTAAAACCGCAATGCTTCTTATTCGATGCTTGGATCCATTCTGTTCTGTTTCCGGGACATCTTTTAACAGAGTTTAATGTTGGAATCGATGGAGAGCATTCCTATAATTATACTTACTTATATCACATTGTACCCAATGTTAATTGCAAACAATTCGGTATCTGAGATATACAAATATTAAAAATGTCTGAAACTCAATGTCGTATAGCAACACTCTGCAAAACCGATAGTTTTTTTTTTTTCAGGAAACCTCTATAGAAAGATTTCAAACATCAAATTTTGTACATGGACATTGTTTCATGTGTATATTCAAAACATTATCTTAAGACGCGAAAAGCTGGAAAAATAGTTAAATTCTATACTTTATAACAATAAACTATAGATATAAATTCAAAGGTTCTTATGACCAAGATACTTTGTATCTTTTTTTATGAAATCAGTATCTCCTTTTTGTATTCGGTAGTAGGCGAATCAAAGAATTTATACACAATTTTTTTGGTTTAAATTTATATCAATTTGAACATTTTCACTCTTTCTGTGGCGGATTGGATTATAACATCTTATTTAGCTCCCTCTGACTATATAACAAAACTTTAATAGTGTATAGTTTTTTTTTAATTTATTTTACAATGCATAAGTATTTATCAACATGTTACATGCACATTAAAAGCCAGTTTACGACTAATTATATTAAATAATACCTTTAATTTTGAATATATATACCAACTTCACAATCGATTTCATATCATGATCATACAGTATAAACATTAAATAACTCTTTTTTCAACTACTTACGAATTCATTAGTTGCAGAGACAAGATTAAAGATTAAAAGAAATATTCTCCACATTTTCGATCTACAAAAAAGAAAGGTTACAATTTAAGGTATGGAAAGCCAAAAGGCTCAAATTTCAACTCCATAAATAATTATAATTGACTTTTAATAATTCATAGAAATAAGAAAGGCATTTAATTTGTAATGTGTCATTGTAACTATATTACCTGACATGACTTTTATCTAAATACAAGCTTTGATTTTTTAGCTCACCTGAGCCGAAGGCTCAAGAGAGCTTTTCTGATCGAAATTTGTCCGTTGTCTGTCGTCGTCGTTGGCGTTGTCGTAAACTTTTCACATTTTCATCTTCTTCTCCAGAACTACTGGGCCAATTTCAATCAAACTTGGCACAAAGTATCCTTGTTCAAATGAAGGGCCAAGCCCTTCTCCAAGGGGAGATAATTACGAGATAACAAAAAATTAATGGCATTATTGAAAAATCTTCTCCTCAAGAACCAATGGGCCAGGAAAGATGAAACTCATGTGGAATTATTGTCAGGTAGTGTAGATTCAAGTTTGTTCAAATCATGACCCCCAGGGTTAGGGTGGGGCCATAATGGACGATCAAAGTTTTATATAGGAAAATATAGGAAAAATCTTCAAAGATCTTCTTCTCAAGAACAGCAAAGCTATGATTGGTCATATTTATGTGGAAGCATCCTCAGGTGGTGTAGATTCAAGTTTGTTCACACATGACCCCCGGGGGGGGGGGGGGGTAGGGTGGGGCCACAATGGACGATCAAAATTTAACATAGGTGTATATAGGAAAATTCTTCAAAAATCATCTCAAGAACAGCAAAGCTATGATTGGTCATTTTTATGTGGAAGCATCCTCAGGTAGTGTAGATTCAAGTTTGTTCACATGTGACCCCCAGGGGTAGGGTGGGGCCACAATGGACGATCAAAATTTAACATAGGTGTATATAGGAAAATTCTTCAAAAATCATCTCAAGAACAGCAAAGCTATGATTGGTCATATTTATGTGGAAGCATCCTCAGGTGGTGTAGATTCAAGTTTGTTCACATTTGACCCCTAGGGGTAGGGTGGGGCCACAATGGACGATCAAAATATAACATAGGTGTATATAGGAAAATTCTTAAAAAATCATCTCAAGAACAGCAAAGCTATGATTGGTCATATTTATGTGGAAGCATCCTCAGGTGGTGTAGATTCAACTTTGTTCAAATCATGACCCCCAGGGGTAGGAAGGGGCCACAATGAACGATCAATGTTTTACATAGGAATATATAGGAACAATCTTTAAAAATCATCTCAAGACAGCAAAGCCACTGTTTGTAATATTTATATTGAAGCATCCTCAGATAGTGTAGATTCAAGTTTGTTCAAATCATGACCTCCACGGGTAGGGTGGGGCCACAATGAAAGTTCAAACTTGTAGAGAAAAATGTCACAGTTAGTCAGAAAAGTATGTAAGCATCCTTAGTAAGTGTGGATTTAATTTTGTTCAAATCATACCCCCTCCCCCCACTCCCTTTTAGGGTAGGTTGGGACCACTTATGCATTTAAGCTTTTCAATACTTAACTGATTTTTTTCTTTTTTCCTAGCCACAGTGCTAAGGTGAGCGATGTGGACCCTGAGTCTCTTGTTTCATGTAATTTTTAAATTTGCAGTTTTATTTATTTATCAAATTGTATTTTTAAAATGTGTTTATATTGCCACATTATATTAAGCTGCATTTAGTAAGACAAAAAAAGGTCAGTTGCCTGTTGTAAGCAGTTCGATTTCGGATAAAGAAAAGCAGTAGTTACAGAAGAAAAATGCAGAATTATATCACTGTTCTTTGCAGAAAGGTGATCCAGTTGGTGGAATCACAGTGCAAGGCGAAGGTTACCAAAAACATGTCTGCCAAAATGTTATCACAACATAAATATTATATATTAGTTTGACTTATGGTTCAAGAAAAAAAATGATCAGAAAAAAAAACTTTATTAAATTTAATATTTTTCACCAAGAAACTTTATTAGATTTCTTTGTCGTAGTTTTGATAAGTGCGAGTGATTTTCAGAAAGTTCGCGAACTAATTTAATAACTTCTATAAAGGATATGAAATTAGGTTTCAGTTTTCATTATTTTTAGCGTAGTTCTTATCAGGTTTAATGCACATCTGCCACTGTTCTGCCCATGCGCGAATTACGTGATACAGGCGGACGCCTGATATGCTCCGTAGCGTTCTGTTCTCAGAAGCTGAAAGATTTTTTTGAGTCTTATATTTCTTACCATGCAAGTTATTTTTTGTAACAAGAACAGTCCATTTGTCCAAAATGACGAAATCTCGGCAATAGGATGGATGGATAAGGATATCATTTCCCAGAATGAGTATAATGTTCATCACAACCCTAGTCCTTGTCTTTGGAGCGGCGTTTATCCAATGTGGATAAAATATGGGCACCTTCTTTTTATCCATATCTAATATGTTTAAAGTCTAAAGTAAAGGATATTTCATGAATTTAATAATTATATTATTGTTAAGATATTCAACTATTTTTCTAACTGTAACTTGGCGATTCTTTCATAACAAATTGCTCAACTAAGGACACATCTCTTCCCCAGCTTGCTTTCACTGGGCAACAGAACAAGCATCATTTTTAACCATCTCCCTTTCTCCACTAAAACAATCAATCCAATTAATGATTGAAATTCTGGCAAGTCTTTTGCCTTCATAAACCTTGTACGAATTATTGTATGATACTGCAAAGGAATTTCCAAGATATATGTTAAACTTTACAGCCGTTATCTGCTCGATAAGAATCAATTTTTAAGGAAATTAGTATAACGTCTCAAGTTTATATTTTATATGTATATTCTCAAACTTTGGAGACGTTGTAGATCCCCTAGTATGCATTGAGATTGAGATTCCGAATTTCCCGGATTTTTCCGACAAAATCGAAAATACGTGAGCCGTTCAAGTGACGAAAATATGACATCACATACTGAGTCACATATACCGAGGATGCAAACGATAGTTTTAAGGCATGAAAATTGCATTAAATCCTCGTTTGTAATTTTTCAAGTACATTGTTGACATATTTAAGCCAACATGTTGCTATGTACAGCAAGGGATTATTGGTAGTTTAGAATTTTTCACGTGGACTCCTACAAGAATTCTTCAACCAATATGTACAGTCATGTATGTTGTCTATAGAGTCCGCTGCGTTAACTTTTTTTTTTAACAAAATATCTTTTTAGTTCACACGATGCGAAGGCTCATCTAAGCTTTTATGATCACATTTTGTACGGCTTCTGTCTGCCTGTCCGTCTGTGAACTTTTCACTTTTTCGACTTCTTTTCAAGAATCACTGCGCAATTTTCAACCAAATTTACCACAAAGTATCCATGGGTGAAGAGGGGGGGGGGTCAAGTTTATTCAAATAAGGGCCAAGCATCCTTCCAAGGGAAGTTAATTATGAATTAATGCAAAAATAATGGCATCTTTCAAAAATCTTCTCGAAATCTCAAGAACCACGAACCCGGAAAATATGAATCTTATATGTGTATTGAAGGTATTGGTATTGAAAATTCAGGTTTTTTTTTTCAAATCATAATCCATACATTGGAATGTAAAGAAAATATCTTTAAAGATCTTCTTCTCAAGAACAACAAATCCATAATTAGTATATTAATACAGAAATATCCTTAGTTAGTGTAGATTCAAGATTTTCAAATCATGACCCCGCTAGTAGGGTGGGACCACATTGCACGATCTTTATAAGTAAGAATATATAGGAAAAGTCATTAAAATCTTCTCAAAGCAAACCGATGATCAGTCATATTTATTTAAACGCTTCCTCAGGTAGTATGGATTCAAGTTTGTTTAGATGATGTCCACCCGGGGTAGGGAGGAATCACAATAGAAGACCAAACATATAGGGAAAAAATTGAAAAATCTTCTTAAGCCATAATATGTTAAAGAAATATGGAAGTACCCTCAGGGTTGATTCAAATTTGTTCAAATCATCTCCTAACTCCACCACCGGGTCCCTCTACAAAGCAGCTAGGTTAAGGACTCCCATATCTACGTCAGCCTATGCAGAGATTCGGGAAAACTATTATGACGTCGCGTTAAAACAAATCAAATTAGTGCTTTCACGATAACTTTTGGCGAACTTTTTGATGACAGAAAATTAAATGACGTATATTAAACAATTGCTTTTACGTCATACATCACCAAAATTTTTCATTTTGCCCTGCAAAAGAGCAGTACCACAGTTATCGTGAAACAGTCTAATATGAATAAATACTATATGCTCTTTTTAAAACACACTAAAATACTTTAGTTTCTCATAAATATTATAAAGATAAATAGATACGAAGCAAGCTTAACTGGACCGAAATAAATATATATTCTAAAATATAATATGTTTTACGGTGTGACCGTTGGGGCGAGCGCAGTTGTTCCATCAAAAAGCTATAGCAGCTTACACTTGTAACGTTGATCCGCCTCTTCAAACGTCAAACCGCACGTGACTCAGTCTAGACTGATGTCACATGACGTCGGAATTTACGAAGACAGCCGAGCGTCTGGTTGAACGAGACTAAAGATCTTGTGCAATAATAAATGAAATACGTTGTAGATTGATTGATTGATTGTATATTGTTTTACGTCCCATTCGAGAATTTTTCACTCATATAGGGACGTCACCATATACCGGTGAAGGGCTTCAAATTTTGACCTTTACTCGGCACTCAGGGCCATTGAGCAGTGAGGGACCTTTATCGTGCCAACGCCTGCCGTGACACGGGGCCTCGGTTTTTAAGGTCTCATCCGAAAGACCCGCAACTTTCACTCCAAAGTGCCGAGCGCATGGCGAAGGAACAGTTGCTACCTATTTTTTATCGACTTAGGTCTGTCGCGGCCGAGATTCGAACTCACGACCTCCCGATCACGGAGCGAGCGCTCTACCGACTGAGCTACCGTGAACGGTCAATACGTTGTAGAGTAGATGTAAATATTTTTTATTATTATTTTTTTTAAGCTCTCTGCAAAGAAAGAAA